ACAGGGAGCCCTGGGGCTGGGCAGGCTACCTGGACTACAGTCTCAGCAGCGTCATCCCCTTTCACATTGCATCCCCTGATAAGCCCTACACACTCCCTGGAACGTAGACACCGTGTCATTTTCACAGGCAGCGAACCGAGGCTTGGAGACACTGTGAGGCGGCCAGGGTCACTCCAAGGGTGAGTGCTCCCGCTCCTCCCTGGCCTCCCTGTGATCCGAGGTTTGGCCTGAGACAGTGTCGCATCCGGCAAAGGGAGCGGAGGAAATGTGGGGCCACAGGGATTCCAGCAGGTGCAGGAAGGAATGACGGAACTGGGAGCCGAGAGAGCTCTCCCTTCTACGGCCCCATACCCTGAGACCCGCAGTGCACAGCTTGATTTTGGTCCCCTAACGGAGGCCTGCCCAGCCTTTTAGGAAGCAGGAAGTGGCAAAGGGAGACACCCATCTCCTTCCAAAGCTGGAGAAATATACCCATTCCAGGGATGGCAAGACTAGGAGGTCAACACCCCTAGGGCAGGAGTAATTCCACTCTGAGTAGTGGGAGGTCAGAGTCTTCAAGTTTATGGCCAGCTCCTGAGCTCATGGTGAGGTACCACGTGGAAGAGGGGCCACCTTGAGGAGGAGGGTGGGGTGCTGAAAAGGACAGCCTCCTCCTTTCTCTTCATCTGCCAACAGCAGGACCCAGTAAGGGTTCTAGTTTCAGTCCCCTACCCTGGCCCCTTTCCTCAGTGTTCAATGACTCGGATTACAAAAGCTTATGGACTGGATGAGACATTCTGGCTCACAGCCCCTTTAGTCTACAATCACTTGGCCCATGGATTCGCCTACAGATCATGATGATTGTATCCAGGGGATGTGTCTGACCAATGGGGGATCCATTCTTAGGTCGGCCAGTGATTTTTGTGAAGTATGGTTTAAAGAATCTTCTGTCTGGGCACGGTGACTCACGCCTGTAATCCCAGCACTTTGGGAGGCCGAGGTGGATGGATCACCTGAGGTCAGGAGTTCGAGACCAGCCTGGCCAACATGGTGAAACCCCGTTTCTACTAAAAAAAAAATTTAAAATGAACCAAGTGTGGTGGCGGGTGCCTGTAGTCCCAGCTACTTGGGAGGTTGAGGCAGGAGAATTGTTTGAACCCGGGAGGTGGAGGTTGCAGTGAGCTGAGATCGCGCCACCATGTTCTATCAATCTCAATAACATCAAATTTGCTAATTGTGTTGTCCAGATCTTGTATATCTCTATTAATTTTTTTGTCTATGTGTTCTGTCAGCTATTGAGAGAGGCATGTTGACCACTGTGGTTATGGAGATATCTAATTCTGTCAATTTTTGTTTTATATTTATATATAGTTTATGTTTATATATAGTTACATATATTTATATTTATATATAATTTTCAGTTGTTATTTGGTGTATATAGTTTTATAACTGTAATACCTTTTGTTGGACTCCTTAATCTTTATGAAATGTTCCTCTTTATTTTT